AGCTCATTTCCTTCATTTACTGTGAAAAATAGTCTGTTCTGAAAAGTCGTGTGTTTTATTTGTCCCCCGGGGCTTCGGCTCCTGCGCTGATTAAAAAAGGTATACAATCTGCTGTACAGTGTTTGTGGCTTCACAAGATCTCTGAGATGAATAGGACACAATTAAAGCCATAGTTTAATATTTCTTAACCAAAGCTCTGAAGTTCGCCAGTGACATAACAGAAAAAGACTGAAACTTTACAGTTTCTTTGGCACCTTAAAAATGAATTGATAACTTCAGTTTATTACAGTTTGTGTTTCATTATCTTAGTTTTGGCCACATTTTCTATCACAAGGGGACGATAAGATTTGACTCACCTGGTAAATCACTGAGATTTGGGAACGGCAACACTGCTGAGAGGAAATCTAACAGGGCAGGAAACACAAGCCAACCCTATTTGGAAGAGAAACAAAAGTGAACAGTCAAAGTCATCACCCAGACTGTAAGTTGTAAACATTTACAGACAGTCCTCGTGGTGAACTTTGACCTGCTGTACGTTCTATAGTTAGCTGGAATGTAACTGATTGTCTCAACACTCATTCCTCGCCTCCTTTGTTGAAACAATAGTTCCCTGTTTTCTAACTACTGAGCTGTTTCTGTCCTGTTGAACTCAGCCTGTGTCTACGTCTGGTGTCCATCAGCTCTTCAGGGAAATATCTCTCTTTAGCTGCTGAATCGTCCTTGTTCACGAGGGAGTTTCCAACTTTGTAACTTTTTGCTAAAAACAGCTGCGCGATTGAGGGCGATAAAACAAAAAAAATGAGCTGAAAGACACTAAAAAAGCTCTGCAATCTGAGGGGAACTGCAGACTTGAGATCATATTCTGTAGGTTTGTCTTTAAAATATGACCCATTTCACATTACACCCAGTCACCTGACAATTGTTAATGTCATTTGAAGCAGCTTTGAGCCAGTATACTCTGTGATTGTAAACCCAGAGATCAGGTCATCACTAAAAACGTTACTTTTGTGGTGAACGCACGGCGAGAATACTCTGTTCGGGGAGCCGAGCCTTAAGTTCTGTAGATCAGAATTGGTAGACGAGATGTGTTGAGGCATTGATAGAAACATTCAGAGCAGCAGATTCCGTCTGGGCCGAGTCAGGAGCAGCTTGTCCAGACTTGTCCTGCGCACGGAGGGGAGGACACAACACGGGGCCTGATCCCAATCACACACACTGACAAGAAGAGCATTTCTTTCTGGAGGCTTTCTGTCTTCATTACTCATCCCCTCCCCGTTTCACTCCTAACATCACTCATTCACTTCAACGGTGATGACGTTTATGCTAAGATATGTGTTTCCCTATCTTCAGCTTGGGTCCTTTCCTCTGTGATTCATGGTCAAATGTCGACCAGGATCTTACTGCCGGCTCACGTTTAAGAAACAAAACAAAGACCACAGCTGATGATCAGTGAGTGCAGGTTGATTTCTATCAGCGCAGGTCAACCAGTGGCTTGGACTCATGGCTCAGTTGCAGTTGTCGTGTTGAACAGTGACCCTGTGTGGAGTTCGTGTCATGTGTGGGAGGCAGTGACAGACTTGCGGTTTCTGTGTCTCTGTCTGGGCTGGCCCGCATTGAGCAATCCGCCACATGTTTTGGCTTTGTTTCCTCGGTGTGACTTGGCGCTTTTGTGTTGAAGGGGAGGTGGACCCTGTGGCCCTGCGGGATGCCTACATCCGTCCTGATTGCATATTCTACGCGTCCAGCTGGCTGTCCGAGCCAGCTCCCGACTCTTTCGAAACACAAGGAGGAGAGAGAGGGGGGGGGGGGTGAGAGCGCCAGATTTCCTCTCCTCCTAATGGAAAACATACTGGAGCATTTCTCCGAAAAAATGTCTATTTTATTTGTTTCTTCCCTGCTTCCTTTTGCTTGGGTGTTTTTTTCTTTTCTTTCTTTAATTGCAGAAGATTCCAGCCCAGAGCGACTTGAGGTTTCTCCCTCTTGTGGTAAATGTGGAGGCTGTTGCCGGATCGCGCTGTGGCTCAGCCGTGCCAAAAGCGCAGCATCACTTTCGACACAAACATGCATCCCACCCCTCCTCGCTGCCGCAGCCGTGGTAGTGGCAGTCAGCCAGTGGGGCAGAAGCCACAGGCCCCCCCATCCTCCCGTATTGTGGAGAAAGGCACGGCTCGCTGCTCTACCCCATTTAGGCCACGCCTAGGATTATGCAGCCAAATTCTTATTCTCATTTTTTTGTTATTATTCTTCAATCTGCTGTTCATCTGCTCTCATTTATAGCTTGTATGCTGTTGATCCCCACTTTCCTCACATGCATCTGTCTTAACTCGGTCAGTTGATCGGTCACCGCATTCGGCTTCATACTGAAATATCTCAACAGCCATCACATGGATTTTCATGACATGTGGTACAAACATTCACCTTCCTCTCAGAATACATTTTTATCATTTAAAAAAAAATCTATCTCCATCATCTGGTCAGCATATGAATTTGTCCAATACTTTGGATTGGGACCAAACACCATCAGCCTCAGCTAATTTACTCGCTAATTAGCAAATATTAGCTAGCGTGTTAAACTGAGATGAACAATGTCAACATTCCACAATCTCAACATCAGCATGTTCTCGGTTCACTTTAGCATGTTGTTTCTCCTAACATCCGCACACAGTGCATCAGTGGACAGCCCGTCTGTGTGTGTGTGTGTGTGTCGAGGGGAGTCGGCGTGTTTGCTGGCAGGTGGTGAGCTACACATGGCAGCGTTCACACAGACTGAGCTCTAAACAGGGACGCGACAGTTGCTCCCAAATATTTTTCCCCTCACTCCTCGCACCTTTTTTTAGGTTTTGTTCTAAAATACCCTGAACCACATCTTTCTTTCCCCACTTTCCAAGTGTTTGTTTGCCTTTTAATTGGCCTGCGAGGCGCCCCTCCCCTCACAAAGTACAACTGAGTTGCCAGGATGCAGACCATGAGAAGGAATTTCAGCACCTCAGTAAATCTACGGAGGCCTCCAGGCAAACGCAGGCAAACACGGTGCCGTCTGCAACAAAGCGGTCCAGTACATTAAACCGCCGTACATCATGTTGGGAGTTTGTTTCAATGGGACACCCGAGGGCTCGTGCTCTGTCAACAGGTGGCGCCTTTTACCGGACGGCCTCAAACAGAAGTCAAAATGTCCCCGAGGATCAACCGTCCTGTCTGTGACTTACTGTTCGTCCATCCCCTCGCCCGAAGTGACCAGGCTTTTACAAATGTTGCGGTCATCCAGTGTGTGTATGGCCTCAATGTTGAGAAATGAAAGGAGGCTTGTTGGGCGGCCATGCTGGGAACAAGGTGTTGTGTGTTCCCCCCCCCCCTTCCAAACTTTAGAGTTTATGTCACTTGTAAAACCCAGATTGACTGGTTTGTATATGCGGGCGAAGGGAACAGGGTTGTTTATCTTCTGACTGACGTAATTCTGTGATTAGCTCTGTGTTTTTATACCTCCGCTCTCTGTCTCTCACACACACACACACACACACACACACACACACACACACACACACACAGTCAGATCTCAGGCAGACTTCGCAGCTGACTTGAGACAAGGCCCATCTGAACTCAATTTGCTCCCATAGCCAGCCAAAACAACCCAAAACAACAACACAAAAATGCATGCTGACGTATGCAGATGGGAAGGAAATCAATAAAATGCAAACAAGGAGGAAGAGCGGTGAGATGAAAGGAGGCTCGGAGGGCAGGCGGCAGGAATTTAGCACATCTGTTACCTTGGCAGTGCTCTCAATCATGTGCGATGTTGTGGAGGCTGAAAGATGGCCAGAGAGCAGCCATTTGTCTCCACGAAGGCTCACATGTTTTTCACCCGTGGACACAAGACAGGAAAAGCTTTTTTCTTTTTGTCTATATGTTTGTTCCAAAGCTGCACAACAAAAGTATGTGAAAGTTGTCCTCTTGAGTTGACACGTTTGCTCCACTTTCGTAATTGAATGTGTACATTTAGCTATTTGCTCTCCTCTCACACTTGGTCAGGAGGAATTCAGAGATCTTTCTTTAAGTATTGGCGTCACAGCTCTTGGACTTTTGTGTATTATTTATGAGTTGATTAGTTTACCGCAGTTCTCAATAAACACTTCTGGTATGTTTTGCACAAACACGTTATGAGATTCTGTAAACCACCGTGGGAAAATATCCCAGTTGAACAACAACTTCTTTTACAGCCCAGAGGCCAAACTGGAATAAGATTATGTGGCAAATTATATCCGATTCCTTTGTTTTAGAGCTTGCGTTATATGGTTTATAGCCGACTTCACATTATTATGTTGTTTTTGTTGTTTTTTTCAGCATTGTTTAATCTGTTGCTTGATTTATTATCTTGTCTGCAACTCTTTCTGCTGCCACCTTGGCCAGCTGCCCCTTGAAAAAGAGTTTTCCAATCCAGTGAAATAAGCCTGAATATTACAAACATTGTTCTTCATCTTTCATCCTTCCCTCTCATTTTTAGATCTCGAGGTCTTGATGTCCACTTGGACAGAGCGTGTTATGCGGTGTTATTGTGTCCCTGTTGCCCTGAGACAACCACTCAAGACAAGGATTTTTGCCAGTAACAACACGGTCGCACCAGTTCGCTTGCCCCACTGTTTCTTTTTCTACCAGTAAATTACATGGAGACACAGCCACAGCCCCTTTGAATGAATCACGTTTGAACAGAAATAACACAACTGGCACCGATAACAAAACTCCTTTCCTGCCTGGTGAATGTAATTAGGGTTTGGTAAATACCAGCACTTTTAGATCTCACCGAGTTCTTGTCAGGAATTCCCCCTCGAACTGTTCTAATCATACAGCACACGCTCCCATCAAGAGACACCCCGTATTTATTTTAACAGCTTTGTTAAACCATTAATGCACAGGCACATTCCGGCCACAGAGTGATTCGTGAAGAGGGTGTTTTTTTGTGTTTTTTTAACACAATTACCTTTAACCTCTTCCCGTTTGTCCCACAGTTGCTGCGGCTGGTGACCGTGTCTGAGAAACGCTGGAGAGCCCGGTCGCATCGAGGCGGAGGTGGAGGCGGAGCGGACACGTGGAACGATGAGGGGGAGGAGGGATTCGAGAGCGGTGACTGCGACGACGAAGATGAGTGCACCGGAGTGTCAGGGCTGGGCCCGCCGCCGAAGCACAAGCGGCTACGCATCTTTGCAGGTGAGACACAAACTGGATCTGAAAACGTACTCTCACTACAAATGAGCTGCCGCATCCACATCGATTACTTCAAATGAAAGAATGTTGGGGACAAGCTTTCAAGTTATTCAGGCTGCTTAACCGGATTAGAGCTTTTTACTTCAAAACTGGTACGTGCATGAATAGGTTTGGCTCGGTGTGCGGCGAGTCAGAGCGATCGCGGTCCCAAACACAGGCAGAGAGGCGTTTACATGACTACTGTACATGTTGACACCACCGTGACACTATGCAGCGGGAGACGTGAGACTTCCTCAGGTAGCCGCCTCACCCCGACCTCTCGACCTCCCCCGCCGCCGATCCCTCGGACGCGTCAGACGTGCTCTCCTGAAAGCCAAACAAAGAACAAGTGGAGCTACAAACCGTCGGGAGAAAAGAAACCAAACAGAGAGCGAGGGAGAAAACAGCCAGGCAGCAGGAACAAGGGGGTTTCGATACGCCGACACAAAGCCAGCACAGCTGAGCAAACACGGCGGAGGGAGTTGTCCATCTTGTCGGGGATGTTGTGGCAGAGATTTAGGTTCGCCGGGCAAGGAGCGAGAGCAGGAACCCGGGGTTAACGCAGGAATCCTGCAAGGGCCATCGCTTCCAGCAGGCCGGGCCGTGAGAGTCTGATGCCCTCTCTTCCACGCTCCTGTTAGCCTGACTATACAGTTCTGCTTCCATACACACAGTCATTAAACTGTCTCCTCTGGCAGCTGAAGGTTGACACAGCGGGAAATTAAAGCACCCTTTAGAGTCCGACCCCCATCTTTTAGTGTGTGTGTGAGTGAGTCCGCAGGCACATATACGCCTGTTTGTACACAAGCCAGTAATGTTTGCAGACCTTGGAGCGTCTCCGCTCGCTGGCAGACACACAGATAGCCGCTGATAGCACCGTGAAGACTCGGGCAAAACGCTGAGCTAGCTCAGCCGCTCCGCCCATTTTGGTCAAACAGGGGACCGGGGGTGGGGTGGGGGGGTTCAAAGGTCAACCTGCAGAGCATGAGGCCTAATGGGCCGCCTGTCTGTGCTCCGCCGCTCTGAGATGGACGAGGCAGATCTGGTTTCACAAAGCCGGGAGTGGAGCGACGGCGTGGCGCGCACACACGCACACAAGAACCTGGAGGGGGGGTGACAGAAGTCACAACAACAAGGTGCGGACAGGACGGAGGCCGGGCCGAGAGCCCCACGCAGCGCGGCTGTCAACCTGCTGACCACACAGAGGATGTTTTCCCAACACGCGTAGTGATTGATCTGTCCTCCCTCATTCTCCACACAGATTCCATAACCTTCTGATCACTAATGCTGCTCACCCACAACACACACACACTTCCCCTCCCGACCAATCAAACCACACGCCGCACATTCCCCAGAGCATTCCAGGCCAGGGCAGCTATTCCAGGACAGGGTGGCCCCCACATCACCCTCACCCCCCCCAAAGCCAAACTTACAGCCAGACCTTGGTATGGTTACAGCTCACACACCAGACAGATCACTCGCTGACCTCTCTGGTGTCAGCTGATTCAATTGATCAATCAGTTCAATTATTCAAATAAATTAAATGTAACAAAAAGGGATATGAACAGCTTTAATTTCCAAATCATTTAAGGCTGAAACCTTTAATAGAAGTGGTGGGAGATGTGTAGTATTCTGGTGTTAGGTCTTACAGAACACCATCACACCAGCTATAATCAATTACAACTTCACACATGTGATAGGGTAATAAAAATAACACATGGTAACACCATGTTCTATGGAAAAACATAGGGAGACAGTGACTCAAGAAGGGACGAGACATAACGTCAGCTATCTGACGATTATTCATTATCTAGCTGAAGTTAGCTAACATTAGCCACCAAAAGCTACCAGCAAAACCTATAAGGGAATTGAATTGAACAAGGGTTTGTTTCAAGTTTAATTCTTTCAAAAGTCACATAGTCTCACTTTAAATGTTTTTAACTCTGGATGTGTTTCAGGGCACATTTTTCAGCAGTGTTTACAGTCAGATATTACAAAGTCAGAATTACATTCAGACAAACTAAATCATGAGCATGAAAAAAAAATAAATTTGGTTTGCCAATATAATCCCAAAAATGTGTATAACCGCATACGGGTTTGTCTGTGTGTAGTTTTTTGTTTTTTAAATCCTGTAATCTGTGAAACCGTATGACGAGGTCAGACGCTCATGATGAGGGCTCACCTGTGTCTGTGCTTTCATGCACACCTGCTCTCTGACTCTGTGGGGAAACAAAGAACCTCCATTAAATCCGCTCTGCGCCCCCTCACACTTCACTGCCCTCGTCACTTCAAATTTGTTCTGCAACGTTTTCAGAATACCGAGTAATTTACTGTATAAAGTCTTATGTTTATTGACTCAAGTTAGTTCTTGGGACAACATGATTCTCATTGAGAAAACGTGGGAATAATCCACAGAAATGTTTTTTGTTTTTTTTTGACCACTCAATTCTAAACCACTTTTAAAGAGTCTAACGCTAACTGCTAATAACTGGTTAAAATGGGGTTTTCATTCCGTTTGGAAACATTCAGAAGTCTGAAAGCCAACAGTCGGTGGGCTCTGCCACGGCCCACCAGCCCCGAGCTCTGCCTTGTGTGTTTCCTCGCTGAGCCTTTCTGCTGTGTGCTGTACCTCGCCGTGCTCAGCAGGAGCCGCGTTGAATGGGCCTCTTGTTATGTCCCTGCTCTCAGACGTTCGGTCACTCGAAGTTAAGGCCGTACTTTTTTGGACGATCTGCAGCGTTTTTTTATCAGCGCCAGGGGTTAGCAAAATACAACGTGGAAATATTCCTGTAATGTGAAACACGCGGCTAACAATGAGAAGCCGAGCTCACCTTTCAGGTCTAGTAACAAAGGAGCGAGTAAAGGAAATTAGGCGATGAAAGTAGAGAAAGAGACAAAAACACCTTTGATAACTCTTAACGGTTGATACACTGGGAAACCTAAACATTCCCGACTCCATATGTGGGTCCAATTGACCGCCGTACGTGCTGCCAATACCAGAACCTGGTATGTTAATTAACTGCAGCTGTGACCTCCGAACCCTCGGCACCTGATAGGTGAGTCACACGGCACCGGTCCTCCGCACTAGTGTTTGCCACATGTCTTCATCAAAAAAAAACAAAAAAAAAAACAGCCATAATCCAGACACTGTTGACATTAGCTCTGGATGCATCCACCTTGTAAACTGTCCCCTCCTCCTTTTAAGCTCCATATAGTTTCATACAGCTTTAGATTGACTGAGCAACTGCTTCTAGTTACACAGCTGTCCACATGTGGTTGCCAGGTAAGAGGGCATGCGTGAGACAGAAGGAAACGGGCCCAGACGATGCAGATGTGCACGGAGGAGTGCAGGTGTTCGGGCGGAGGAGGAATCTGGGCGCCCACATGGCCCCGAGTCCTCGATGGAAAAACATGCAGACTTCACAAAAAAAGTATCAATGTTTGAGGCCCACCTCCATCAGGAGTGAATGATCTTACAAAATATATGGAATAAAAGGCTGTGGAGTCAGTTTTGTCATCTTAAATGCGGACAGATCTACTGTGTTTCTACACTGTGCCTCAGCACAGCCTCACAGAGTGGCCATTGAGCCGGAGACTCAGTTTTGTTTTTTCATGCCAACTGAAATTATCAACCAGAAGCATAAATTATCAAACTCTTTTAAAGGCTTTGGTTGCTATAACATGCACTGATTTTACCAAATGTGTTTCTGCGACCAGTGAGCTCGAGCATTTCTACGAAACGGCGTAATTATGATTTATTTCTCCCAGAGAAATGAAAGAGAAATAGATAAAAGAACAGATGTTGTTGCTCAGTTTGACGAGAGAGAGATTTGGGGGGAAAAAATGTGGACTGCTCTCATCCTTGGCCGACAAAATAATCATTCTGTAGCCAACTAAAATCTGTTTATCTTTCAGAAGATTAACGGTGAACTTCGAGTATCGCCTGTTTTCCAAAATTGAAATGTATGCTATTTCTGGCGAAGGCTCTAAATTGATGAAAACGTCAAAGCCAGGAGGGCAGAGGAGGTGTTGAAAGGTTGACGGGTGGTGTTGGTGGAGAGCCCGATCATGTGCAACACACTGGACGTGTTCTAACTGAGCGTTCGCTACCTCCGTCCCTCCAAGAGCTTATAAACAACCTCTGTAAATTCAGCCAATCCTCCTCCTTCCCCACCTCCTCCACGCCCCTCACAAAAATAATGAAGCTTGCCACCATCTGTGTCAACAGGCTTGGCCAGTAAGAGCTGCAGTCTCTCGCCGGAGCCGGCCAAAAGGCCCTGTGTGTCCCCGGTTATTGGGGCTGAGTGGGGTGGCAGTGGAGGGCAAGATGGGAGAGGAGAGGAGAGAGGGGGGGTCACAGGGATGAAGTTACCCTCTTATTGGGGCCTTGTTGGTCTTCCGCCACAGAGCTTTCTCAAATCAATCCGGGGATAAAACCCCTAAGATTAGCCAGCAGGCAGGAAGAAGAGCCCTGGTTTTAATTTCTGTGGATACAAGCGCACCGAGCCGACCGGGTTCTCATCATCTGCGCGAGTGATTCATTTTGTAGGCCCGCGCATTTCCCCCCTTGTTTGTGTGTGCCTCTCGGAAAAGCGTTTGTTTGCTCAAGCGCTTTATTTACATTCACAGGCACTTTTTGGACACACTAAATTGATTCCAGGCCCCGGTCCTGGGTCGTGTCCATCAGCCCGGCCACAGTCCACAAACACTCTGCACACAGCGGGGCCATTCTCGAGGCCCGCGGGCCCCGCCGCCCGTCCGCCGCACCGACACACAGCAGCCATTTTGTGGGAACGTCTTAAAAGCCTGGTTGAGGGTTTGGGTTGGTTTCGTATTTCTCGCGTTAACCCTCCGCTTTCGCCTGCTTCTCTAAAAGTCTTCCTCTAAACCGTCCTTTCATTCTCCCGGTGGCCCGCTCTCACTCTGTTTTTCCAGCCCATTCTTGACAGTAACTCAACGATGCA